CCTGGGTAGAATCTTAATCAGAATAAGTGACACATTGCACACAAAAAAAGGGTGTCACGCAACTTGGGTGAACTTTAAAACAGTGACACACATGTAGAAGCAAAAATAAGACTGTATTGCAGTAGAAAAATACATACCAACCATCAAATGTTGAGCCACCCGTCTTCAAGTCAAATAAGGTATTGTTCGGAATATTAGCAACGGTCGAGAATTCATCATCAGTTTGAGGGGCACAACCAACCTTGGAAGACACTCGGTTTCCCACTTTATGCTCTTTGGGAGCAAAACAAAACAGGTCCGTATCAATTTTGATACTTCCCTCCCATGTGTACTCTATGCTATTTTTGTTCTAGAAAACACGTCAAATTTTATATTAGAAGTTTAATTTATAAAATTTTAAGAGACAAAAGAAATTATTAATTAAATATATAAAAAATATTTTAAATTATATGAGAATTTAAAATTTTAAAAAGCAATTGTTCCCGTCAGTCCTCTCTTGGTCTATCATTGGCCATTTCTCACTCCCTACCCTATGCTTTACTCAGGGTGGGTACTGTCCATCCTGAAATCTGAATTTTATTTGATTAGTTACTTGATTGTGCCCACTTTGAAATTTTATTTGTACCAACTCCATATGAAAATTCTGTGTTGTTTATATATACATGCACATCCTAAAAAATATGTTTAGATCCGCTAGTCCCTCCTCAAAACAATTGCATATAAATTTGGGAACTAATTTGTACACTAAGACTCAATTTTAACTTCATATTTCAAAAGTCATTAAATTTAGGTGTAGTTAGTTGTAATTATAAGTTTAAGTTTAATGACGAATCTAAAAATATTTTTGAAAATAGACATGTTATAACATAAAACTTTTATATAGAATAAACAAAAATAAAATTTTAAGGTGGTACAATCTATAGTGTAAATTCGCTAACGTTTGAGGTATTTGGAGTTCAAATCTTTTATGTTTAGGAATTGAGAGAATTTGATCTATTGACCTTTTATAATCAAATGAATTATATCACACTTGGAGATGAAAAAAATCAAATTAAATAAAATCAAATTTTGGAATAAGATTTCACCTACCTATATCTTCTGACCAGCATGAACAGTAGTTCCAGGAACTTTTGAAGGCAAATTGGAGGAGAAAATTAAATCAAACTCAGCATTATATCAGAGGAAAAAAAGAAAAGGAAAAAGGTGTGATTTTAGGGCATTATTAGTTTAAAGCCCAAAAAAAAAATTATTGGATCAATACTTCCCAAACAATGTTAATTTAAAAAAATATACTTAAACTGTCCACATAGGATGATCTCGTAATATGCAAAAAAAATAAGGTCATATCTCACGTTTTTACCAAAAATGAGTTTTATGTATTTATTATTGTCTTTATTCAAAATTAAATGAGTTTATCTGAAAAAGTTAATGGGCCTCGAGCTCATTAAAACACGTGATCCATTAAATGCGTTTTATAAGACACGAGTAGTTCTACGTGGACAATTTGAGGTATTTTTCTAACTAAACTAATGTTGTTTGAGAGGTACTGGTCTAATAAATTATTTTTCGGGGGTTTTAAAATAATAATGCCTGATTTTAGGCGGCGAATGCGTGTAAGTTTCCACATCCACCATACATGTAAAATTTTCCTTTTCTGCATTCCAACACTTCAAAAACATAGAAACAATGGGGAGCAGGAGTTGCATGGGACATGCAGAAAACAGCACATTAGATTCTCAACCAACATTGGAATATACTGAACCTTTGCTTTCAAAAAGGAATCCAAGTGGGGACACCCATCATAATAACCCATAAGCTTAAGGCCATGGTGCCCTCCTACAGGATCTATAAATACCCACTACGCAGGCCAAAGCTTTAAGGCCATCTCTCAACGCTGCTTTCGGTTTCTACAATTCATATTCTTAATTTCCAGCTTCTCGAACCGTTTCATGGCCAAGAACAACCTCGCTTTACCCGCCGCCCTTCTCATTGTCTTGTTGTTTGCTTATGGAGTCACATTTACTGAGGAAAGGGTTTTGTTAGCAGACCATAAAGCCGACAATGTCTCTGCATACGACACCGATGATTTCCGGCCCACGACTCCCGGTCACAGTCCCGGCGCCGGTCATTCTACTGGTTCAAGTAGCGATCCTAATAACTAGATTTATCATATTATTTTCTTCTACGTAATCGTATGTAAATTTATATGTGATGCATTAACGTAGAATATGCATTGTTGATTTTATATATGCGTCATGTTATTTTAAATATTATATAGTTTGGATTTGTGTTTTTAATTTCATATATGCTGGTGTTCCAATGTTAATATATATTTTATTTTGTCTTTGTTGGATTAAAGAAGGGTACGAGTTGCATAATCTTTGACTTTCTTTTACTACTAGCACTCTATTATTAGCAATGATAATTCTAATTTTTTAACAAATTTAATTATATAAAAGCTATTTTTTTTTTCTTTGACAAATATGAAATTGGATTTCGTTTCTATTATGGAAAAGTGTCGATCTACAAAAATGCGTCTCCCTGTGTCGAATTTGACAATTGGGCCCAAGCTGTTGAGCCTTAGCTTAGAGTCTGAGAGTATCATCATTGGGCTGCCTGCCTTCATCATTTTCCTGGGTAAACTACGTAATTGGTCACTAAACTATCACTTGGGTTATTTTTGATCATCCAACTATTTTTTTAAATATACCTAACATTACATTTTTGTTATATGCCGTTAAAAAGTAAACAAAACTACCCATGTAATAAACTTTTTTTTTCAATGATGATATGGCATTACCTAATGATGATCGATGACTAAAACATATACAAAACATAACATAACATTAGATATGATTTTAAAAAATAATAGTTAGATAATCAAAATAGAACTAAAGTGATAATTGGATAATTAAATATGTAGTTTACTCTTTTTCTTTAATTCATGTCTCGAAAGTTAAAAAGGTTAACAAAACTTGGATAAAATCGGAATAATTGCTTGATTTGGTTTTAGGTTCTATGGTAAATTACTTTTATTAACCATTAAATTAGTTTTTTATTCTATTTTGAATTTTTTATTACTAAATAAAAATATTTGTTAATCAAACTATATTTATTTTATATCTATAATTAACAAAAAAATATATTTTTAAAATTAAATTGTAGAATAAATCTGAAACTTAATTGTTAAATGAGATTAAATATTTATTTTATAATTAATAAAAAATATATTTAATTCATTTTTATATTAAATTAATATAACAAACTAATTATAAATTCGAAAAGGAATTTGATATCACAATCTCAAAGCACAATTTTTCATCAAACATCAAAATCAAACTAAAAATAGGACTCCAAAGTCTAAAGTCGAAACCTCCAAAGAATCTTATATAGGGACGGACACAAAATTTTATGTTAGAAATGATTAATTAAAATTCTAAGAGAGATTAAACAATTTTTAATAAAAAAATATTAAAATTTTAAAAATATGATAATTTCAAATTTTCAGAGGAGGATAATTGCTCCTACAATCCCTCGAGGCTCGATCCATCCCTATTTATACCCTTCTGATATTGACATGGAATGTATCGATAAAAAAAGAAGGAAAAATAAACCCTATTTTTTAGGAGTTTATAGTAAGGCATAATGCAATAAAATAGCCTTAACGTTTGACAGTCATGTCAAGTTTACCCGTATTTTTTTTGGAACATTTGATTCCTTAACTTTTCATCTTAGATCAAAAAACACCATCGTTTGATGAAAACCATTAGTCAACTAATGATCAATACATGAAGATGATATGACAAGCTTACATAACATCGAACGCTGAAGTGACAATGCCACATATGTAAATGTGATGACGTGGTAAATGCCATGTCAGCAAAAATTAATTTTTTTTAAAAATAATTATATTAAATTTTTAATAATTTTCAACCTATACAAAGATGAGCTTTAAGAGAACCCAATAGTTGTTCGTGGCGAGCGACAGTCTGCTGCAAACTTTTAATAGCCTCTGTTTCGTTCATCATAGCTCAATCTCTCAACGAAAGCACCAATGTTGTGGATCAAGTAATTAATACCTTGGACTCAAATACTCAATTGAATTTCATTGATAAGGAAGGAAAATACAGCAGAATAGAGAAGGAAAGATAATAGAAATATGAGAGAATTAGTAAGGAAGAGAGGATAACAGATTTGTAAAACTTTTTCATGCTTTCCTTCTATCTTCTATTGCCTTTAATAGCCAGCTAATGTAACCACCAAACAAATCGATTTTAAAAGTTGGAAAGAGTGAGGGTTTTGACAAGGAGAATGAGAAGTGAAATTAGGTTGGGTTTAATTTGATTTTGATTAGTAATTTTCTTCCTTTTTCAGGGTTTTGTCGATAAAGAATGAAGATTGAAGAAGAAGAAACAATGAGCTTTGAGTACAATTTTATATTTAAACTAATGAAAATATGACACGTGTTATTTTTGTATTGGTTAAAAATTATTAAAAAATAATATAATTATTTTAAAAAAATTAATTTTTGATGACGTGACAAATGTCACTTCAACGTTTGATGTTATGTAAGTTTGTCATGTTATCTATCTACGTTAATTATTGATTGATTAACGATTTTCATTCAATGAGGATATTTTTGACCTAAAATGAAATGTTAAGGTTAAATGTTCCAAAAAAATAATATGAATAACTTGACACTACTATAAAATATTAAAGTTATTTTATTGGATTATGCCTTATAATAATGAAATAAATCCCCAAAATCCAAGGAAAGAAAGGGTTAATAAAAGAAAGCAGCTGCGGATCCAGGGTGACGGTGACCATACGTCACACTATGCAAAATCCAACGGTTGATATTAAACTATAGCCTTCCTCATCCAACGCTCAGTAAAAGCCCACGTTTCTTGCTCCTCGTCACCCTTAGCTTAGATCATCTGCTTAGAATTAGAATTAGACCCTAGCTTTAGCTCTCTCTTTTCTGTTTTCTCTCCTTCCCTGAAAATACTCAGATTCAGCCTAAAAACAGAAAAAAGAAAAGAAAAAGAAATCAGATCCAATTCTAATCAACATTCAAATATTTTATTATAATTTGTTTTGAAGAAAAATAAGAGAGAGTGATACTAGGAATAAAAAGATAAGGATGCAGCAGAACAGTGGTTCGGATTCACAACCGTCGCAGGAACAGAACCAACGGCCTCAACAAGCGCCGCCGCAACCACAGCCCCAGTGGGTGGCGATGCAGTATCCGGCGGCTGCTATGGTAATGCAGCATCAAATGATGCAACCGCAGCACTTCGTGGCGCCGCAACCGCCACCTCAGCACTACATGCCTTATCACCATCACCAGTACCAGAACCATCACGGTCACGCGCAGCAGCCGCAAGGATCCAGCGGTGGCGGCGAGAACAAAACCGTTTGGGTTGGTGATTTGCATCATTGGATGGACGAGAACTATCTTCATAGCTGTTTCGCTTCCACTGGCGAGGTTGAATATATTCATCTGATTTATAATTTAGTTGCTTATCTTTAATTGAATGATTTGCTATTAATACGTCCATATTTCATTGATTGTTATTTTTTATCAGTGACTACAATTATGTTGTCGTTGTCGTGGAATCTGCAGTCATGACACTGTGTATTACATTTTGTATGGATGATGATCAATATGCTTGTGTTTATGTAAAAAGCACGTGGGAGTGCTCTATGAACACTTACTTAGTACTATTTATGAAAATTGCTGAAATTAAATGCATCTACATTGACTACTATTTATGGAAATAGAAATCTTACAAGTATTGCTCAGGTAGCAAAAGATATGTGTTTGTGTTATTGGTCTATTGAAATATAGGATTTGCACTGTGATTGATATATCTGGCGCCTATTTAGTGGATGGCATGTAGGCTGTAGCCGTCATGGCTGTATACTTGAGTACTATAATCAAATACTAAGAATGGGATGAGTGTCAACCAGAAAACTGGGTCAAGTCAGTTCTTGATTTGGCTATTGAGACGTTTTCAGAAAATGATGTACAAAGAGAACTTCAATTAACTAGAGCCAACTTTGGAATTTAGTTCTGGCTGGAGATATAGTTTTGAATGCCAAAAAGCTGTTTAGAACACTCATTATTTTTATTTTATGAATGTTGAGGTTAAATTACATGTTAAATTTAGAATATCTTGATGTTTTGGCCCATGTTGATCCACACAAAAAGTTTGTCACATTTGGCTTAAATGTAAGGTTCACACATTGTGACTATGACTGCGTTAGTTCAAACCAAGTATTGAGTGATTTGCGAAGGCAGAGGTATATTTACAATGAAAAATAATTTAAAGAAACAATTAAATCTAATTTAAGGGTTTTAATTGCTTGCCTAATTTTAATTGATATTGGAGTTTATTTGTGCAGATTGTGTCCATTAAGGTTATTCGCAATAAGCAAACTGGTTTATCAGAAGGATATGGATTTGTTGAATTCTTTTCGCATGCAACTGCTGAGAAAGTTCTTCAAAATTATAGTGGCATTTTTATGCCTAATACAGAACAACCTTTCCGTCTGAATTGGGCAACTTTTAGCACAGGAGAGAAGCGCTCAGAAAATGGTCCCGACCTTTCTATTTTTGTAGGAGATTTAGCTGCTGATGTTACTGATAGCATGTTGCATGAAATTTTTGCCAGCAAATATCCTTCTGTTAAAGCTGCAAAAGTTGTAATTGATGCTAACACTGGTCGATCAAAGGGTTATGGTTTTGTGAGGTTTGGGAATGATACTGAAAGGTCACAAGCCATGACTCAAATGAATGGTGCATATTGCTCAAGCAGACCTATGCGTATTGGTGCTGCAACTCCCAGGAAAACGTCAGGGTATCAGCAACAATATTCTTCACAAGGTACTTGATTATCTAACTTGCTTTTCCTTTATTCATTTTGTTTAAGCTTTGAAACATTGGTACATCTTTAAATTTCATTGAATGATTTACGTTCATTGCTGAAGTTCTTATCTTTTACCTTGCAAGTTATTTTTTCCCTTTGAGGATGCAGTATTAGATGTAAAAAGTCAATTTGAGTCTAGCTCCTTTGAAATGTCCGCCTAACAAATTTGGTGCTGCTTCTCTTACTTTGACTTAAATTTTCACCTTGAGAGGATCAGAGATTCCTTCTGAGACACTATATAATTTCTATTCTGTATCTGTTTTGTTGGTGGACTGCCTTTCTTTTAGTTATTAGATTGTGTTGGATTCAAACAGTAGCTTTGTTGAGCAACAAAATGCTAGGCTTTCCCTTTTATGTTGGGCAACTAGATTTTAGCCTCTTTTGATGGGGGTTTATGTCTTTTAACTTTGCTATATTCAAGTACCTTTCTTTTATCATGCAATATAAAATAACATCTTAACTGCCCATGGCTGAATTTGAAGAGGGGCGATCCCTGTTTTCTTATACGAGCAATAAAAAAGCAATGGAATTGTTAAAAGTTGTGATTGACAATTTCTATAATTTCTTTTCCATGAATGCAACCTCATTTTAGTTACTTAGCCAAAAACATCCGTGTAGTTGATTGTCAAATACTGAACCTTAAACTTCTTATTCTTTAATAAAACCTAATTTTGGCTTTTGATTTTATTTAATGATTGACATTGTAAAGGAATTCAGTGCTCAGATAGTGTCCAAGTCTGATTGCAATGCTTAGTCACCTGGTTTTATAGCTGCAATCTTGCAAAGAATTCCCTTTTGTTGTTGTTCATTCTTGTTCAATATCTTTTCTGAAATATCAAGAAAAATTTAATTGATACAGTTTAAAACCTTCAGATTTTGCCTGATACATTTATCTTCTTTTGTTTTTGGAAGGTGGCTATGCATCAAATGGTGCTTCAACTCAATCTGATGGAGATTCTTCAAATACAACCGTAAGCTTTTCAGCTCCCTTTGGCCCTAACTCTTACGAGCATCCATATTTGAGCCTCCCTTGTCTAATCAAAATTTATTATAGATATTTGTTGGAGGACTTGACCCTAATGTCACTGAGGAAGATCTCAGGCAACCTTTCTCTCAGTATGGTGTACTAGTTTCTGTTAAAATACCTGTTGGAAAAGGATGTGGGTTTGTACGATTTGCCAACAGGTAAAATTTTGGCTATATTTTACTTTTTCCTATAAAGACTGCTACACTAAAAGGTATAATGTTGTTATTCTTGAGTTTCTATCTTGATGTAATTTCTCCGAGTTTCAACAGGGACAATGCTGAGGAGGCATTGCAGAAGTTGAATGAGACTAATATCGGCAAGCAAACAGTGCGCCTTTCTTGGGGTCGCAATCCAGCAAATAAGCAGGTCTCTATTCTCTATCCATATATCCCCCTTCACTCTCCCATTCATTGTTAACTGAAAAGCATTAAGAAAGCTGTTACCAAATGCTTTAACAGAGGTGTTGAATTATTTCTATGTAATCTATTATACTGGGATAATGCAGTTTAGGGCTGATTATGGTAACCAATGGGGTGGAGCTTACTATGGAGGGCAGGTCTACGATGGTTATGGCTACGCTTTTCCGCCACCTAATGGCATAGGCATGTATGCAGCTGCAGCCACCGCATATGGGGCTTACGCCTTCTACGGTAATCACCAGCAGCAGGTAAGCTGAAACAATAACAGCTGGAGAGAGGAGATGTAGCGCTAAGTAAGCTCAAACTAGGGAAAAAAAGGAAGGGAGGGGGGTAGAGGGGGACTGCCTTGTTAGTTACTCCATAGCTCTCTGGGTTCTGTAGAATTCTTACATAAAAATCTCTCCCAATCTGGAGTGGAACTGAATTTTGACCCCTTGTTTAAGTAGGTTTTTATTTTTAAGGGATTGGATTCATTATTTAATTTTATGCGCGAGTTAAAGGGAAACTTGTTGATTGGAATATATGAGTTGGCTGACATGTGTGATTGTAGTGTGCTTCATGAATAATAGGTTACATTTCATAAATAATAAGTTATTCCTAGCTTGTTTGCTGCTATACATATATTCACACTGGCTGGAAAACCATTTTAGTAAATTGGAAATGGAGGAATGCATTTAAGATTTTTGTAGAACCATGTCTTCCACATTTAAATTAAATTTCTTTAAGTTATATTCCATTGAACCAAATCTATACTTTGGTTGTGTATTTTTCATGTATAAGATATATAGATTGACATGTTAATAATTTGTGTTGTATAAATATTAATATGATTTTGCTATTCTCTTTTATGTCGTTCAAAATTATCATATCAAATTTTTGGTCAAGTTGCTTTGATCATTTATATATTTGTTATTGTTAAATAACTGGGCCTAGTTTTGAAGGAGGAAGCTTTAGTTACGAGTAATGATTTTTATTTCTCGATTTGATTTTGATGTCTTTTTAATCTTTAATTTTTTTCTTTTGAATTTGTCAGAATTCATCATTTTGATCCTTTTTGATCTCAGTGTTGCTACAGCTGGAATGTAATACTAGTGATCAAGTTTGAAGTGTTAAATTAGCTTCCCTTTTTCACCAATAAATAATAAATAATAAAACGAAACCGCGAGAAGTATGAAGTAATTAAATATTATTTTATCTTAATTATTTGTTAATAAATTTATTTAAAATTATATTTATTATCGAATAATTATTTTATGTAAAATGAGCTGTAAATTTGGTTTATTAACACTTTACATGTACTTATACTTGACATTCTTGTCAAGTATTGATAAGATAACAAATATAATACTTATTTTTCGCCACATCGGGACATATAATCATAGTAATCAATGCTCTTTCATCTAGTTAAGATCAAAGTCTTTAAATAAGACATAATGATAAAATTAACTTCTAATGTTTGCATAAATTATCATTTTAATTCTTTTTTTAGTATTTTAATTTCTAAAATTTTATTTTTTAGTTAAAATAGTTTGTATTAGGTGGAAATGATTAGTTAACTAACAATCAACACATGTTGTTAACTAGGGGTGCTTATCGAGCTAGTCGATCACGAGTTGGGCAGTCTCGACTCGTGCTTGTTAAGAAAACTATTGTTTGTTAAGCTTGTTACTCAGTAAGCCCGTTACTTATTAATCTCGTTACTCGTTCAGCTCAATGCTCATTGCTCGCCTCGTTATTCATTAGGGTGCGTTTGGTTCATGGAATGTAGCATTACCTCTTGGAATAGGATTACCGGAATATAACATTACCTAACACATTACTGTGAATATTGCATTGTTGTGTTTGGTTTGTTTATCAGAAATGTAAGATTACAATGTTTGGTTAAATGAATAAAAGATTACTAGAACGTATATTTTACCAAATTGTCCTTATTATATATTTGTTTTTTAAACCAGTTGAATTCTAAATATTCAAAATAAAATATTTGTATAAAAGATCATAGAAAATATATAATTTTATTATTTTTAATTTATATATTTTCTTTAAAAATTTTAAATTCATAAAATTATATAAATTTTTTTTACAAAATTTAGAAGATAAATTATTTTAATGAAAGGGTTTAATTTTATTTTAACCCCTGAACTTCATATAAATTCTAATTGTGGACTTTTTTTTTGTAAATCTAAAATAGTTTAAGGATAAATTTGCAATTTACCCTTCGTAGAATTTTTTTATTCAACGATTAGGAGAAGGATATTTTTGAAAAAAAAATATTTTAAGGGCATTTTAGTCCAAAGTCATGGGAAAATATTAATACATAAGCGTGCGTTTGGTTCACGTAATGTAAGATTACCAGTGAGAATAAAAGATTACCAGTGGATAGGAATGTTGTATTTTGTGTTTGGTTGGTTTAGCAAGAATGTAAGATTACCGTGTTTGGTTAAAGGAATACAAGATTATTGGAATGTATATTTGACCAAATTGTCCTTATTATATATTTGTTTTTTTAACAAGTTGAATTCTACTATAATACTACTATAAGATATTTATATATATTTTTAAAAAATTTAAATTCATAAAATTTATATATTTTTTTTACAAAATTGAAAATATAAAAAGGTTTAATGAAAGGGTAAAATTTTATTTTAACCCCTGAACTTCATATAAAATTTTAATTATAGACTTTTTTGTAAATCTAAAATAGTTTAAGGATAAATTTGTAATTTAACCTTCGTAGAATTTTTATTATTCAATGATAGAAGAATGATATTTTTGAAAAACAAATTAAGGGCATTTTAGTCCAAAACGTTGGTAATCAAACAATATCTAAGGGAATGGGGTAATGACATTCCCGGTAATATACCCAAAAAATCCACTGTTGGTAATAAACTTTATCGGGAATGAGATTACTGACCAACTAAATGGGGGAATGTGGATTCCATTCCCCCAGTAATCCCACATTCCCCGAACCAAAAGCGCCTAAGGGATTGGGGGAATGGCATTCCCGATAATAAGCCCCCAAAATACCACTGTTGGGAATGACTTATTACCCCTTATTGGGAATCTTTGCAATCCAAACATGTGTATCACATTCTGGAAAAAAACTTTTCACCCGATAATCTTCTTTTCCCCAATACAAACGCACCCTTAAACTCACCGAAATGTTTACCTTATTTTCTTAACTATAAATAAAATTTACTAATACTATATAGAACTTAATATAAACATAAATCAATAATTTTAACAAAAAAATTTATCAAAAGAGTGTATGAAATAATTTTAAAGTTTAAACTCCAAAGTAACTGTCGAAACTGTTTTTTTCGAAGGGGAAAAGGGGGGTCTCGTTTCAAAATAATTCTTTGGTGACCTATTAATGATAAAAATATGGTTCGAAGAGTCACCACCAATATTTGATTAGGGTGTGATTGAGCACCCAAAAATATATTTATCATTTTAATAAAATATTAATTTTAAGTAAAATGATAAACTTGTGGTATGCGTTACCAAAATTCGAGTTCGGGAGTCAGTTACGTGTGGGGAAGGATTAGCACCCCTCAACGCCCTAAATCGGTACCTAGTCAATTAATTAATTTTCTTTGCAATGAAATTTACAAGTTTGAGTCTAATTTAATTTAAGATCCCCTACAAATAATATTTTTTGAATACATGATAATATTTAATTATTTTATATCGAGAAGAATCGATCTTTCATACCTGGAAGCAATCGATTCTTACTCAAATCGAAATAAAGAAATATTAAAATTCCATTCTAAAGCTCATTATTAATTCAAAATAACAACACAAAATAATTCTAAGAGAGAAAATGATATTATATAATTATTTCCGATCGAGAATAAATTACCTCTCATGCCTTAAAGCATTCATTTATTAATCCAATCAAAATGAAGAGATATCACTATTTCATCTTAAAATTCAATGTCAATTCGAGTGAAAACGATAACATATAATTATTTTCAATAGAGAGTAAATGACCCCTATGCCTTAAAGCATTCATTTATTACTCTAATAAAAATGAAGAGATATTACTATCGATTCGAGTGTTACTATTTTAAAAACCCGTTGAAAAACACATGCAAAAATAAAGCAAATTAGAAGCATACCCCAAGCAAATACAATTAATTATTTATTTTACCGATCTTTAATGAGAATAAGGATGTTCAATTATTTAAATATACGAGACGAGACCTTATATTCGATCTAACAATCTTTTCTCGGTGAATTTAAATAAAAGAACATGATCTTTTTCTCAGTCCCAAATTTTAGGTGTAATCGAATTTTAAGTTTCCACTTGACGGGATACAATTTAATTTTAAGTAAAAATTTCGGTGAGTTTAAGGGTGCGTTTGTATTGGGGAAAAGAAGATTATCGGGTGAAAAGTTTTTTTCCAGAATGTGATACACATGTTTGGATTGCAAAGATTCCCAATAAGGGGTAATAAGTCATTCCCACACACACACACACACACACACACACAACACAGACACACACACACATACATATACACATACATATACACATACACACACACACACACACACACACACACACACACACACACACACACAACACATACACACACACATACATATACACATACATACACACACATGCATGCATGCCCAAGTTATAAGAAAAATCCACTGCATGTACATAATATATAGATACAAAACCCAATTGACATGCATACAAATGATATACTGCACGTAATACAAGACTTATGGCATATGATAATGCATGTATGTATACATAAGAGGTGAGGATGATGTAATAGGACTAGAATGAACAAGCCGTGGGTTTACTACTATAAAATGTAAGTTTAAACTAAAGATAAGGACAGAAATAAAATAATAACAAAATTAATATCCCTAGCATCAGATTACACCAAGTATACAGAAAGAGTATAAATCGCTTCAAACCAAGACAAAATAGAGAATTTGAAATAAAATAAAAATAATTGTACTTAATATGAAAATTTCCCGTTACATTAAATAACAAAGGGTGATTGCTGAAATGAAAGATGATGAAAATGAAAGGCCGAATCAAAAATCAAAGTGAACACTTTAAAAGGAAAATGGGGACTAGAGCGAACTCTTGGGGACATGCAAAGGACTGAAATAATGAATGTACCAAGCCCTTGTCAACACGTGTGCCTCTATGGGCTATTTTAATGAGAGTATAAAACATATTTGTTAGAGACAGAAGCCATACAAGAAATAACCCAAAAGACAACAAGGAGGGGCCCACACCCAAGATAAAACGAATGGAGCTTGAAGTGTTTTAATGAAACCGTGTTTTAGGTTTTAACCTAAAACTAAAACATTTTTATCGCTCCCCCTTTTTTCACACAACCGTTTCTTCTCTCTAAAGCCCCCATCTCTTCTTTCACTTTCATTTGGGCAAGATTAAGAACAAAGGCTTTACCCAAATCGAAACAAGAGTAGAACAAAGCCTAATTTTAAAGGGAAAGAAACTATCTTCGACAAGTTACGAACGTGGTGG